CAGCATGGGCGTTCCCAGGCCCCCGCCCATGGAAAGAGCTGGGCTGAGTCCTGCCATATGGTCCCTCTCCCGAGCGCTCAGCACCCAGCCCGCGCAAACTCTCACGTCTTTCGCTCCCCAGGCAGGCGCGTGAAACGTCATGTGCAGCAGGAGCGAGTGGGCTGGGATGACTGTTCCTGTCCCTGCAGAACACAGCACAGTGACAGTCCTGGGGAGGAAGGCTGTGCCTCTTATTCACACCCAAACGCTTCTGCAGGGACTTTTGGGTTGCCTGCCTCAAACTTAAGCTCAACTTCAGACCCAGCAAAATGAGCAATGCTGGCATCGGTGATTTCAGACTAAATGAGGACAGTTATGGTGATGGATTGTTGTTATCAAAAGTGTTTATCAGCCACTGTATTCCACATCTTCTGGCTTATTAGAAACTCCTGCAGCTAGTCCAGAGGCAAGAATTTCATGGTGAATCAGCTTTATGAACATCTGTCCTGCCAAGCACCTATCTGATGTGTCAGTGGGTAGATGAATAGGCAATTTGTGGGGCATCTAATTATTCAGAAGAGAGCACCCAGGATTCAAATGCAATTAAATTATGTACGAGGAAACTGAAAAATATTCACTGTTCGGTTCCTGTGAACAGACAAATTTGACTGAAGGCTCTGGGTCTGAGGAATGAGTTGGGTGTTTAACCAGGAGGCCAGCAGAGATTGCTTTATTCACTTTGGGTGTTTTCCTTTGCCAAGGGCCTCCTGAGAAACCCCCATTAGCTGGGGATCAGCCAGGGGGGAGCAGGCAGTGAGGGCTGGGGCAGCTGGGACCAGAATCAGTAAAAACTGGATTGTGGGAATAAAAATTAGTTGGGGTCTTGTTTGTCGTTCAGAGAGAGATGGCAGAGGGTTCAGATTAAATCTGATTATACTGCTGTAGCAGGGGAATTGCAGCTGTGATCTGGGTATTCACTGCTCAGATTTGTTTGTTCTGTCTTATCTCTCAAGATAGAAATTTTGTCCTGTTGCAGACAGCGAGCAGAGAGAGCCTGATGAAATATCAGCTGGAAACGGGTTTTGCTATACCCCATATAGCCAGGGGTCATTAGCAGCTGAATAAAATGTTAATGGCGTGTAATGGGTTGGCTGGAGGGTGGAGGAGAGCTCTGCCTGACCTGCCTGCTTGTTCTGCTTCCAGGGGGAGAAGGGTCCTCAAGGACCGGCCGGCCGGGATGGCATCCAGGGTCCTGTGGGACTGCCGGGTCCTGCAGGTCCCGTCGGCCCCCCCGGAGAGGATGGAGACAAGGTGGGAGCAGCTCCCTGCTGCACAGGGTCACTCTGGGAGGGAGCTGGGCACCGTGTGTCACCACGCTGCTTTCCCCGCATCGGGTTGGATGTGCTGCTGGTTGTAACACAAGGATACTTTATGGTGCTTGCAATCCTGTGAGATCAGCAGCGTCCAAGCTGGGGACCCGCAGGGACACTGGGCTGTGTGTGCTCTGCCAGCCCTGCCGCTTGCTGAAACCCAGGGAGCCTCCCCCAAAGCCTGGAACAGGCGTCCTGCCCAGGGTTCCCTGCCCTTTCCAGATTAATTACCTTTCCTCACCCTCTCATTAAGCCCCTCTGGACTGGAGGATTTTTAGAAAACATTAGGTGGGACAAGTCACTCATTGCTGCTAACGAGGTCTGCAAAATGATGCTGCTTGCATCCCATGGCAGCTGGGGAATGTTTTAGGGTGTAAAAGGGTTTGGTTACACCTGGAGTGGCCAAATCTCTGGCCTTTTTCAGAATATTTTGGGGTGGTTCTATGGGAATTGGTATGTTTGGGATGAGGGTACAGACCTACATGACTGTTGGTTGAATGCTGAGACATGGAAGTGGTCACCAAGTGAACTAACTGCCGCTTTGTGCCTGGCAGGGCGAGATCGGGGAGCCTGGCCAGAAGGGCAGCAAGGGCGACAAGGGCGAGCAGGTGAGTGGGGTGGATGCCGTCGTAGCTGCTTCCCTGGAGGAGTGTGCTTGTGTTGTGTGACCTGCTGGAAACAGAAAACAATATCATTTCCATTTCTTTCTGTCATTACTTCATCTTCTCCTTTGCTTCAGCAAATACCTAGATGACTTAAAAGAGAACAAGTACCTGAAGGGTGTTTCTCCTCCAGCTCCCAGGAACATGCTGAGATGTTTCTGTGTCACCCATGCAGCATTAGCGGCCCTTGCCATTAAAGTTGGGTGTTTGGCTGTAGGTCTATTTTTAGGTGCAGCACCCTGGTGCACCCTTTGTGTGCTGCTCAGGGCCGGAGGAATGGAAATGAATCACACACAAGTATCTAGAGAGAACTGAGTGATGTGACATGGCTGTGATGGAGCAAAACCACATTCAGATGTGTCTGCTGTGCCATTGGCACTGGGGCTGAGAATCCTGGTGTGTCCAGGGAGGCTTGACCCTGTCCTCCTTCTGTTTTGGGAATTTATGCATTTAATGGAGGCTGTGTTGAAGGGCATTGCCTTTTCCAGGTGAGTTTTTTTTACTCTGTGTTCCTAATGGTGACATGGCACTTCTGTTTCATGACAGGGTCCACCAGGTCCTACTGGCCCACAGGGTCCGATCGGTCAGCCTGGCCCAGCGGTGAGTATTGTCCCCTGTCAGCAGAAATCCCCTTTTTTTGCCGTAAACCATCCTGGGAAGCACTGCAAAGATGGGAAGTTCCTGCCTGGCACTGCTGATGCCCAACACACGAGTTGGGGCATTGCTGCTGGCTGTGGCAGGAGGTGATGGGGTTGGGGCTTTGCATCTACCTCGTGTCTTTGCCAAGCTGTGCTGGGCTCTTTCTTCATAGGGTGCTGATGGAGAGCCAGGTCCTAGGGGACAGCAAGGCCTCTTTGGTCAGAAAGGTGATGAAGGACCCCGAGGTTTCCCTGGTCCCCCCGGCCCAGTGGGCTTGCAGGTAATTTGCAGCATCAAGGGAGGGTTTAAGGTAATGAGAGCTGGGGCTCCACCGGAGATGTTCACAGCTAACACTCATCCCCTCCACAGGGCTTGCCTGGACCTCCTGGGGAGAAGGGAGAAACAGGTGATGTTGGGCAAATGGTAAGATGCTTTCATGCTTCGTGTTTCATCACTGACATTTCTCCAAGAAACAGGTCTTAAATTTGTATCTCCTTTTCTCTCAGGGCCCCCCAGGCCCACCTGGACCCAGAGGTCCATCCGGCCCACCTGGAGCAGATGGTCCACAAGGTCCTCCCGGGGGAATAGGAAATCCTGGTGCAGTGGGAGAGAAGGTAAAGCATCCAGACAAACCTGCTGGAAGCCCGCAGGAGTTTGCTACAACACTCACGCAGGGGCTTTGCTGTGTCAGCAGAAAACCTGGCACCCCGCAGAAATACCAGTGTGCTCATCCTCTTTTCCCCTCTGCAGGGTGAACCTGGGGAATCTGGTGAGCCTGGTCTCCCCGGCGAGGTTGGCCTCCCAGTAAGTATGCTACAGGGTGGTTCTTGCTCTCATGGAGAAGCATTTTTCTTCTGCGATGTTCCCCGAAGAGCTGGTGGTTGGGGTGTCAGAGAGGGATGGGTGTGGATGGGGCTGCAGGGACCAAACCAGCCATGTCCCTGGTTGGGTATCAGGCACCACATCATCATGTTACTGGATATTTGTAGTATTACGTTTAGTCCCTGACTATGGGCTACCCACAACTGAAGAACATGAGCACCATTTAATCTGGGAAGGGACTACTAAATCACCTCTTCGTGTTTTGAGATATAAATAGAGCTTCGTTCTCAGACTTGATTAAAGGATAATTAGAAATCCCCAAGTTGTTTTCCTGGATAATAGAAACACCCTTTTTCCTTTACAGGGTCCTAAAGGTGAAAGAGGTGAAAAGGGTGAAGCAGGTCCCTCTGGTGCTGCTGGTCCACCTGGCCCCAAAGGTCCCCCAGGCGATGACGGTCCCAAAGGCAGCCCTGTAAGTACCCCTCCAGTCCAAGCAGTGCTGCTTTGTCTTGCCCAGCAGAGATTTCACATGAAAAGATGTTTTCCAGAGATTTTTGTGGAAATTTGAAACAGTTTACCAGCCAGAGAATTACTCCTCTAGTGATATGTGATATTAGTCCCCTTCTTTATGGTTGCTAATGAGGAAAAGACCCAGTTGTACCCTATCTTCCAGCAGTACTTGAATTATTAGTCCTTTTGCAGGCCATCAGAAAACTCACCCCTATGGAGAGGGTCTGCGTAGGTTTACTCAGTGCTTGAGCTAATGCATTGCCAAAGTCCTCTGCACCAGAGCAAAGCTTCCAAAGTAGCATCGAGGAGATTTATGTGACTTTGGGAGTTGTACCTCCAGGGTCAGATCCCTGCTGATGCTAATTGCTGCAGCTCTGTTGAAGCCAGTAGAGCCAGACTGATTTATACAGGATGACAATGGTACAGTATTTATCTTGCCGGCTTCTTTGATGCTTGCTGGCTGGAGAAATTTATTATGCGATAAGCAAAGATGGCATGGAACAGCAGAGGAGGCAGGGGAGTTAAACATCTCTCTTAACAGATGGGTTTTGGGATATTGCATTATTGGTTGAAGCCTATTGTCTGAATGCTGGTCTCAGAATCATTTGAAGAGCACAACAGACATTGTATAGAGAAGAATGGTGAAGTGTTTCAGTCATCAAATGCTTTGAGAAGATCTTCACGTGACAAATGTTACACATCATGTAGTAAGCAAAAGCAAAATCGTGTAATGTGCACATTCCCCAAAGCTGCAAGTGTCAAAAAGTGTCCCCAAAGTGTCAGCGAAATCCTGACACTTGTCCGATGTATTTATGACAAAGTTGATGAAAGTCTCGGTGCTGACACTGGAGCTTTGCATACTCTGGGTGCAGAGCTGAACTGGTGGCTGTGACGGGATGAAATTACTGAAGGTGCAAAGATGGGATGTGATCTGGGATTGTGTCTGACAATTCCCTGTCCCTGAGGGTGGGGAATTGGGGTTTTGCTCCACAGGGTGACTCCTTGTGTTGTCACTGGGGGAACAGGCACTTGTGCTCTTCGGTTCTCCAGATGCACCATCTCTGACCTGGGGATATCTGTCTTCTCTCTGCAGGGTCCCGTTGGTTTCCCTGGTGACCCTGGTCCTCCTGGAGAGCCTGGTCCAGCTGTAAGTGTTTGTCTCACTGAAAGGCAGTTAGGTTCCTCCTCCAGGTTTAGCGAAATACGGCTGTGTGCTGCTCCTTACTCGGGACAGAGCAGGATGTGCCACCACAAGACACTGTGTCTGACCGTGCTACAGCCCTCGGGGCAGTAGCTATGCGAGCGTTGCTGTTCACAGTGTTTGATGTAGGATGTTTGCTGTTGTTGGTGTTCTCAACGGGAGAGGGGAAGGGATGGTGCCCGGTGACACAACCACCAGCTGAACCACACCAGCTGCTGCCAACACTCTGCTCAACTCTGCTTGCACCCTAAAAACTCCTGCTTGTTTTTTTCTTCTTCCTCCTTAGGGTCAAGATGGTCCCCCTGGTGACAAAGGTGACGATGGCGAACCTGGGCAGACTGTGAGTAACTGGATAGACGAGATCTGTTCCCCATCAGTCCCCATGGTTTCTATGTGCAGGTCCATGGACTTTTAACGCAGAAGGACATCCAGAATCTAATACCCAGCAGCTTCTGCAGCACTGGTCCCCAATGCCTGTCCAGTCTTGTGTCAGCCTGGCTGCTGCCATCCATCCGGGCTGCTTAGCAACACATCCCGAAAGCAAAAATTCACCTCTGGAAAAACAAAAATCTAAGTCTTTCATTTTTACTTTATGGTGCCTTATGGTATTTCATGGTGGGAAGGGATAAAACAAGATACCACCTGCACCCCCGGGGAGCTGTTGGGAGTTGTACTGGCCGCCCACGCCTCGGCTGAGCACAAATTTGAGATCTCGACTTGAGTTTTACATGGTTGCTCCTCCCTCCCATGTCTCATGTAGTTATGGCTTTTTCTCCTCCCCTCTGCATCTAGGGTTCCCCTGGTCCCACAGGAGAGCCAGGCCCCTCCGGACCCCCAGGAAAAAGGGTAAGTGGATGGTTTAAGGGTATTTTTCCAAATGTATATGTATGAACTTTTTGAAACTACTGTTATTATTAGGTCTACGGTAAATGCAAGGCAGTAGCCTGTTAAGTAATAATAAAAATAAATTTGATGCGTCATCCCCAGCCATTGGAAATTGATGGGAAGTTGTCAACCAGATCCCATGGACTATTTTGAGATTTTAACACCCAAAAGAAAATACAAGGATGAGGTGCTCCTGCTCTTCCTGCCTTGCTGGCAGAGCCCAGGGATTCATTTAGCAAGAAGCTAATTTAAAAAGCTTTTCAGAGATATTTATCTTCATTTTGTCTTCTTCCCTGGGGCTGTAGCATCATTTTGCTAATTCCAACAGACCATTGCAGATCAGTGGGATCTAATTGTGTTTTCCATCTATTTGTGTTTTCTCTAGGGCCCTCCTGGTCCAGCCGGTCCTGAAGGAAGGCAAGGAGAGAAAGGAGCCAAGGTGAGAGCTGAATGGGATTTCACATCCACCATAGTCCTTGTATGCCAAAAAGATCACCCTCTGACAACTCTGGTGTTTGAAAGACAGCGATTTGATTTTGCTGTATGTTGCAACAAATTAGCCTGAATTTGAGGCCATTGCCCTCAAATCTAAGCTTATGTTTCATCTTTTAACAAACGCTGTGGGGATTAATTAGGGCTTGGTAAGGTCATGGGAATGTTTTTCTTGTTCTGAAATGACAAAGAGCCATATTTGGCAATTTAATATGTTGTAAATCGTATGGCGTGCACAGCCCTGTGTCTTTTCCCAGGGCAAGCGAAGAGTTATTGGTGTAAGGGTGGTGGGGAAATGTAGGGTGGGATTGCAAATTCTGGGGCCAATTGTTGCAGCCACAGGAACACTGATGGTGGAGGATGTGCTCTGCCAGCTCATCTCGCAGGACTGAACCCAGGAAAGTTTCCTGCTCCAGAGAGCTCGCAGCCAAAGGGCTGTTCCTCTGGAAATCAGCAGAAATGGGCAAGGCTGAAAAGTGAAGGAGTTTGGAGATTTCAGTGATGAAACATCAGCGCATAAGAGATAGGAAGCAGTAGGAAAATCAATGAAAAGAAAGTTTTAGATGCTTTGCGTGGAATTGCATCCACTCTGTGACATCCTGGCAGCAGCCACAGCGTATGTGAGCAGCCTGTTTGATGCCCCAATGCAAATTAAACCACCCTGCCTCTTGCATCTAGGGTGAAGCTGGTTTGGAAGGACCTCCTGGGAAGACTGGTCCAATTGGTCCCCAAGGTGCTCCAGGGAAGCCTGGCCCTGATGGTCTTCGAGGAATTCCTGGTCCAGTCGTGAGTATTCCCAAACTGAGCAAAGTCTGGGAAAGTTTCTGGGCAGGGTTGGCCCTGGTGCTTTACCATAATCCATCTGCCTTCGAAGATGCCTCTCTCCCAATGTGATGTTCTGTCAACTTTAAATGCCTGACAGCAGATAAAACTTATTTAGTGGAAATAATATAACGATAAATATCATCTCCCAGCATATTTTATTTGAGTCTTGGTTCTGCTCACCCACTTACTGGGGCAACATTTCCATGAGCCACAAAGTCCCTTTTCCAGCAGAGATTTGAGCGTGAAAGGAACAGAAATCCTTTTATCCTTTACCCACCTGCGAGAAGCCAGGCAAGCGTTCCCTGGCCCAGAGACCAGATGAGGATATGTGAATAACCTGATAACCCCAGCTGGGAGCACTGCTGTCATGGATGATGGGTTTGAGGGAATTGCACTGTTTTACAGGGTGAACAAGGTCTCCCGGGATCCCCTGGCCCAGATGGTCCTCCAGGCCCAATGGTATGTCAAGACTATCAAATTCCCTGAGTTTTTGAAATGGGTGAATGCGTTTCACATTAATTCATTCTCTCTTTTGTTTTCCCCGCTGTCTCCCAAAGGGCCCGCCGGGTTTGCCTGGTCTTAAAGGAGACTCTGGTCCTAAAGGGGAGAAGGTGAGAATGGCAACGCGATCTCGCTGCATGACCTGATGTCCATGTCCAGGGGTGGGAGGAAAAGGTGTCATTGTACAGGGGTATGACAAGGCTGGGGAGTGTCGCCAGCCCCATATGCTCTCTCTCACGCTCTGGAAGCATTGGACAAGTCTTTAAAGGAGAGATGGAGAGTTGTGAGTGTGGCCCAAGGGATGAACCGGGTTGTGCTGTAGCTGAGCATGTGCTGCTTCCCATCTGGATCCAGGACTGGGTTTCCCATCCCCATATCACCAGCACTGATGGCAACGAGGTGCCACGGAGGATCTGAATCTCTGCAGCCCCCCACGCCAGCCCTTGCAGCCTGTGGCAGCTCCAGTTGTCGGGGCTGTGCCTGGACACGGGCGCTTAGCAGAGGGCACAGGGAGGTGCAGACACCTGCCTTGCTGTAGGGCAGGACTCTCAACCTTGTAGAAATATATATTAATGTATATTGCAAACCGCAATATAAAATTATTATATTATTATATATATATTGTTGAAATAAGCAGATGCTCCAGTGCAGTAGTTCTGCTTCTATATTTGTAGCATTTTCTGTTGCTGGTGCCTTTCTCTGCTCTGCCACTTCCAGGTGTCAGGGGTAGCGACAACCTCTTGTCACCTTAGATACTGGAGTTTGTATCTAGAAATGTCTTTGCTGGGTAGCTTTGGCATTCAGTTACCTCTGACGAGGGATCATAATTAACTTTCTACTGTTTTCCCCTAGGGTCATCCAGGTTTAATTGGTCTTATTGGACCGCCAGGAGAGCAGGGAGAAAAGGGCGACAGAGGTCTCCACGGCCCCCAGGGCTCGGCAGGACCCAAAGGAGAGCAGGTAAATGTTCCATAAAACCTTCACAGAATGTGCTTTTGAGCTGGGGGGGTTTGCTGGCCCGTAGCAGAGATGATCCACCTTGGCAGGATACTCTTGCTAATTTTTTAGGAATGTTTTATATATTAATTAATTTTTTTCTATATTAATGTGGTTTATTCTACATGTGAAATGTAGAGATGCCCCAAAATGACCCATTTTAGTGGAAAGCAGATTCTCAAGTGTCGTATGAAAAGAGTTGAATAGACTTAGAGGGATGGTAACGTTAAATCTGCATCTAGAGGACTGATTTTTAAAACTGTGTGCCTAAATGAGAGATGAGATTCCCTGGTCATGCTCTTGTCTGGATCATGTACATCCTTAAAAACCAGTTAAAGCTCCAGATTTGAATGGAGTCCTCCAGAACCGGGTGGTCACCTGTGAGCAGGTGTTAGTTGTGCAGTTACAAGCCAGCATTGCTGCGTGCAGATCAATGTTCTGCTTTTCTTTTTCAGGGTATCACAGGTCCTTCTGGACCAATCGGACCTCCAGGGCCACCAGGATTACCGGTACGTGACATGTAATTATCTTTTAATTCCTCGGGAGCTACACGGTCCTTCTGGGGTCACCTTGGTGCTCCCAGATACACCCAGCACAGTCCTTCTGGCCTGACCCGGTGTGAGGGTGCTGGTGGGAACGGATCTGCCCAGCTGAGCCCATTAAAACCACTTGAATGAGTTATGGGAGTACTGGGGGGTGGTGATGGGCAGAAGGGATGCGGCGTGATGGAGGCAGGGGAATTACCCCACCCTGTTCCTCTCCCTCTTTTTTTTGGACTATCTACAATCACACGGTGTTTTCTCCCACTTCTTGGTCTTTGCATTTTTTTTTTCCACTGGATGCCCAAAGGCTGCAGCCTGCACCCTTGGGTGACCAGCATTTGCTGGGTGTCCTCAGCACAGAGGCAGGATCAGCCCCGGGTTACAGCAGCTTTTCCAGTCCCCATCTGGGCAGGAGTGTGGAGCGCTGACACAGATTGCTCTGACACAAATGCTTTTTGTATGGTGGCAAATAAAAGCAACACCGAACTCGAGTGTATGTGAAAAGTGGAATCAGAAAAGAAGTGAACCAAAAAAAAAAACCCAAAAAAACCCACCTTGTATAATGCTATGCTCTCTCTTTAAGGAGAGACTGACTTCTCTGCTAGGAAACGTACTGACTCCTTTCTGTATTTTTTCTCTGTACAGGGTCCACCTGGTCCCAAAGGTGCTAAAGGATCATCAGTGAGTATAGACATTGTTAAACGAAGAGGCTGAGGAGCTCTTATTAAGTGTGTAACTTGCTGCGACTTCCCCACTTCAGTGGCATTAAGCAATTAGCCAGAGATGGCTGCAGCAAATGCAGCCTTTTCAGGCTGTCTGAGCCCGGAGATCGTAATTGGGAAAGGTTTCTGTTGCTCACGCTGTACTTCATTGAACATCAGTGCAGCAGAGATCATAAGGAGGAATCCAGCGCCTAGTCCTTAGGAGAAAAACTGCCGCTGTAAAGCGGAGGGTATTAAAATAGACTGTGAAGCGGGAGGTGGCGAGCTGAAAAGCGAAGAACTCGGTGAGAAATGTGACACTGAAGCAAGCTTCAGTCAGATCTCCTATGCAGGCAGCTAAAAATCCCTCTTGGGAAACTTCCTAAAGTCTTTTTCCCATGCAGAAGTCAATGGTTTATTGATTTTAAGATGCTTTTTATTTATAAAACCATTGAGTTGATTTGGAGAATTAACGTTTTCATGCATTGGAAGATCCTTCCTTTTCGGTAGGAAGCCTAGGCAAAATTTGTGTTTAACCCTAAGCATTTGACTGATCTTTTCTTTTACCCAAAAATCACCAAAATAAACATTTTCAGGTGCAAGGAGACTCCTCTTGTGTGCCTGAAGGGACAGGAAGAAAGTTTTTGCCACAAGGGACTATTAAAAGAAATAATGTTCGGGATGTGATATAAGTGAGAAGTGCTTTTTCCTGAGTGACTTCTATGTTTTTCCCTTGTTTTTCCACCCAGGGTCCAACAGGTCCAAAGGGTGAATCGGGTCTTCCTGGGCCCCCAGGGCCTCCTGTAAGTAGAACCCACGACATGAAGTGTGAAATGAGGTTCAGATTTAATGGGTGTTGCAATGTTAGGAAGCAGAAGATTTCTGCACAGAGATTCAGCATATCAGGAGTCCTGGCAATGCGTTGGCATCTCTTGGAGATGCTGGGGAAGAAAGCAGGATGTGAAGGGAGAAGTTACTAATGGGAAGATGACATGAGAAGATGGACCCAATGCTCAGGCCTGGTGGGCAGGGTTTTTATCGGTACCATCATGGGTGTTCTACATGTTTAGTGTGTATCTTGTGATGCTGCTTCTCAACACTGGTGGCTGCTTTGGCCGTCTTTTCTATCTCTTCCCCACTGCCGATGCAATGAGGAGTTGTATCTTCCTTCCCCACAAATCAGGGTCCTCCTGGAGAAGTCATCCAGCCGCTGCCCATCCAGTCTTCCAAGAGGACCAGGCGCAACATTGACGCCAGCCAGCTGGTGGACGATGGAAATGGTGACAACTACATGGACTATGCAGATGGCATGGAGGAAATTTTCGGGTCGCTGAATTCCTTGAAACTGGAAATTGAGCAAATGAAGCATCCATTGGGCACTCAACACAACCCAGCGCGTACCTGCAAGGATCTGCAGCTCTGTCATCCTGATTTCCCAGACGGTGTGTCCCGGGACAGAGGGGGTGTGGGGAAAATACTGTGGGTTTCCCAGCTCCATACAGTGAATACAAGTGAGGGCAGGAAGAGGAGTAATTTGGGGAATCCCTGGCCCTGGTGTCCCATGAGAAATGTGACTGACAAAGAAGGAACACGTTGGGCTAGATGGTCGTTGTAGGTCCTTTCCAACTGAAATATTCTGTTCTAGGAATGGGGACAGATGATGAAAAATAGCTACTCCTGTGCGGTTCCACAGTATTAAATGGAATCAGAACATATTTTTTGGAAAACTGGTTAAGTAGTAGTCTATGACAGAGATGAAACATCCTTGGGAAGGTGGTTGCTCAAGTGCCCATCCTCCTTCTTTCTCAGTGCTGATTCTTTCTTCCCTTCTCTTCCCTCTCGTGCATCCAGGTGAATACTGGGTTGATCCTAACCAAGGATGTTCCAGGGACTCTTTCAAAGTTTACTGTAATTTCACAGCTGGTGGAGAGACTTGCATCTTCCCTGATAAGAAATCTGAAGGAGTAAGTCCACACAACTTTTCCCCCCCTCCCCATATCACGGCGATAAGAGATTGTTTCCTACCATGAATATTCATAGACAGTTAATTTCAGAGGAGTTGAACAATAGCAAGTAAGGATTACAGACCCAGAACATTTCTTTGTTATACTATGTCGGCTTCTAAAATTAATAAGGAATATGTTTACAAAGAGAATTTCTTTAAGTCAGATTTAAACTGGGATTTGGGACAAGCCTTTGATTTCCCAGGCATGATAAATGCTAAAACCTTAATTTTTTTTACTTTGCTTTACAAAGGCAGAAGTGTGTGTTGGCACAGGAGCTGCAGCTCACCATGAGCCTCGTTTAACTCATTCCTTGCCTTCCCTCTTGCAGCCAGGCTGCCGCTCTGCCGTGCGTGCATAAGCACCTCTGATTCCTCTGCCCTCCCTGTGTCTTCAGGCAGAGCAGATAAATGGTTATCTCCTGTCATTTTTCCTGGTGCTTCTTGTGGGTAAATGATCCTAAATGATTGCAAGTAGCCTCAGCGCTCTTCCTGGCGCGGATGCACAAGGTTGATTAAGTTATCTGGGTAATGATGTGTTCAGCTCAACCATGCTCATCGTTTTTGTCCCACATCCATGCGTTCCGTGTTCTGGAGCTGCTCTCTGCCACGCCTGGGGACCAGCTCTTGCACTGGCCAAGCAGAAGCTCTTGCACAGTGGCCTGGGGGAGCTCTCTCGGTATCACAGTTGTGCTCCAGCTGGGCTAAGGTGCAGACAAAGCTGTTCACTGCAGTGGAAGCCGTTTGGTTGCTGTATTTCATCCACCAGAATTATGTGCCAGCACAGGACAAATACATAAATCTTCCTTGGGTTTTTGTTAGGGCTGTTTAAATAGGAGATGGATTTCTTCTCCGTTGCATTAATTTGCCATGGCTCTCCTCAAAACGTTGACAGCTAAAAAAGCAGAGTCTGCCCATCATCTTATGGTTGCTCAGGCTCCTGCCACGCTGACTCTGCAAGTGGCTCTTAGCCCCGTCTCGTCCGCTCTGGAGCTGCTCTTCTGACCGCAGGCTGCGATGCTCCTCAAACACAAATTGTGCTGCACTTTTGCAATGCTGTCATAAATCAGAAAAAGCTCCAGCCTGCTCTTTTTCTGTGTAGAGGAATGAAAACAGCTACCACACCATCATTAAGTATCAAACAAGTGGTTTTATTATAAGCCACAGCAGAGTTTAAGCCACATCCCCTTTCAGTCCATCCTTAACACAGGAGAAGCACCCTTTATGGTTCATGTTCTGGAAAGGACAATCAGACAGTCCCAAGACACCTGCACACAGCTTGGCCTTTGTTTTGGGGAAAATTTACGGCAGAAGCGAGGGAGCTTGTGGGAGGGTAAGGAAGCAGGCTGCAGCCACGCTCCTTCCTTGTGCTCTGGCTGAAAAAAAAAAAAAAAGAAGTGATTTAGCTGCCTAGGCAGGGCTGCCATAAAGGATGCTCTGACAGCTCATTTCTTGTCAAGGTCACCCCCTGCCTCGCTCCAGGTAGTTGGAGCTCCATCACGTGTGATGGTCCAGCACCGACTGCAGGGGATGCTCTGCCCGTGCCGCACGTTATCGCTGCACGAAGGCAGGAGGCGGGCAGAGGCTGTCCTTCATCACACTCTGCTTTTCCCAGCCCCACGGTATCTGGATCTGACATTGGAGTGGCAGCAGCCTTCTCCGTTATCAGTATTGCTTTTCCTCCCCAGGCCTCCCGTGAAGACCAATGCATCTTTTACCGTCGATATTTCCTTTTTTCCTCTCTATCTTTCCTTTTATCTCTCCTGCCGGTACACGGCACTGCTGGTTTTGCATCCAAATGATCCAGGAGGCAGAGATCATTAGCCCTTAGTGAAGGAGGCTGGTGCCAAGGCAGCTCTACACCATCCACCCCGTTCCGCTGGAGAGGGCTGCTGGCACCTTAGGGCTCTGCAAACTGGGCTTGTTACTGGCGTCTAAAGATTAAGAAAACATTTTAAAAGAAGTTGGACAGTTTCAATAAAATATGCAGACTCTGCTGGTGGAACTGAATGTAACTTTTTGTATTTCTTTTTTTTTTTTTTCTTTCTCTCTTTCCTCTTTGCCGTCCACACACTAGGCTAGAATAACTTCTTGGCCAAAGGAAAACCCAGGCTCCTGGTTCAGTGAATTCAAGCGCGGTAAACTGGTAAGATGCATCTTGGTGCTTTCTGTTTTCTTTAACCCGGTGTCATATTTTACAGAGTAAAATGGCTCGTTGGCCCAAAGAAAAGCCTTCCACATGGTATAGTCAATACAAGCGGGGGTCTTTGGTAAGTGGCTAACCCTCTAGTCTGAATCAGAGCGCGTCATCTGCTTGGGTATGGCCGGACCTGCTGCACTCTGCATGCTGGACTAATAGCCATGGCAAGTCGCAGTGAAAACGTTTAAGGTGGAATACTGAAAAAGAAACACAACCCAGTGGGGATGCTTTTTTTCCAGTCTGTTTGACTGGAACCCTAGGAGCAGGTGATGAACTTTGTGTTACAAGGGGGCACACTCATGTGCCAGGGGACTCTGTGGAGCTGGAGCTGTTGTGGGTCTGTCTCCGCAGAGCACTGCAGTGAGCTGCATCCCATGGGAGGACCGCATCCCGCAGGACGGCTCTCGCTGTCTCCTAAGCAGTTCCCATTCCCGTTACAGCAAGGGCAAACTGGGTGTCCCTATGCTGCTGTCCCTCAGCAGTGTAGCTTTATCCCAAGAGCCGAGAGACCCCTAACATGATGCTTAAGCACAGTGCCATCGCAGCCCATGCTCACTGGTACCCAGGTGGTGAATCTGCACATCTCTGCTCTGGGGCTGGTTTTCCCCAAAAGATGGATTTTGTCTCCCACACTAGAGATGAGCCACACTGGGGGCTCCCACGCCACCCCCAGAGCTTGGGAGATGTGAAGTTATTGGTTTAAAGGAAGATTCCAAGCCTGGCAGCCTGGAATTGGACTTGGTTGCAATTGAGGATTTTTTCAGGGGAGAAGAACTGTCATAAGGTCAAACAATGTCTGACACCAGCAAGCAAGACAGCAACATGTAAAACAGAGAAGAAGCTGTAGGATTTTGTCCTGTAAGGGGACATAAAGGTGTTGGGGGTAGATCCCAAGCCCTGGTCAGGGATGTCAGAGCAGCAGTGTGAGCCAGGTCTCCTTAAACAACAGAAATCTCCCTCTTGTATATCCATTCTTGTAGGGTTAGTGGGGTGCAGATAATGAGCTCAGTCAAATCAGGAGAATTAGGGAAGGAAATATTCAGCAGATAAAACGCACCTGCCCCCGCAAGCAGGAGATGCTCTGACGCCCCGTGCTGAGCTGCCTCGTGCAGTCATCCTCTCCCCGGGGCAGAGGTTTCTTGCAGTGCCCCAAAACTTCCACCTTAAAAGGCAAACAACAGAGAAAATCACCGCGTTGTTTTCCTGAGCCGCATTTCATCGCCACTAAGCACGTTTGCTCTGATTCTGCCCACAAGAAGGACATGGCTTCTGCAGCTTCTCTGCATCATCCAATACGGCCGCAAAGCCAAGGCTTCAGCCTCGTAGCTTCTTGGAGGGCAGCTATTCGTAGCTTAATTACAGAGCACTTCATCAGTTAATATTACGAGTACCTCCATTTCTCCATCTTCTCTGTTTTTGGTTTTTTATTCCCAGTCTGTTTATCAGCTATGTTAGAGGCTGAATTGCCAACCTAGAGCTTAGGGCCCATTGTTTGAAATAGGAATTTCAGTGCTACTTGGAGCCCTTTGTTCCATCTTTCTGTGTTGCCATTTTCTTGCTTCTTTACCTGTCCTGCATTTTCTGTTTGGAAAAAAAGCCACCAGCACGTGGAAGACCTTCCTAAACACACCACAAAACTGTTAAAAACACAAGCCATAAAAGTAAAGCTTGAGGGTTTTTTGTTTTTTTTTTTTTTAAAGTACCTCTCATTTCACCCCAGTCAGTATTTGGAACGATGAGACTGGTAAAGCAGGGAGAGATTTGAAGAGATCATTTGAAATCTGTGTCTGGGTGGGCAGGATGGATGAGTCTGAGTTCCCCCAGGGGTGCGGTGTTGCTCCTGTTACTCCCCGGAGAAGGTCCCTGGTGCCTTTCCCCACAGCCCGAGCATGGTCTCTTGGGGGGCTGAGCCCGTGAGGGTCCCCAAAGCCAAGGGGAAGATGTCCATGTGGCTGCCTGGCACTGCCAAGAGCAGAGGCTGCTGGCGTGGAGGGCTCGGTATGAATCTCAGCACTTGCAGGAGGTGTGCAGCCGTGACAATGCCCATCTTCCTTCTGGGGACATGCAAAGTGAGAAGGACAGAGTAAATATGAAACGCAAAGAAACTGCCTTGTTTTGGTGCTGCTGCACCGTCATTAATCAATGACACAGAGTACGTGGAGTTGATTTCTTACAATTTCTCATGATGCAAGCAAACTGCATTCAGGGTTGCAGATGTTTGTTTTTTCTGGGCTTTGCTTTCCTTCTGTGTGTGTCACACACAATTCCCAGCAGCTCTAACAACCCTGCTGCCCAGCCTGTCCTGTTATCCTGAATAGCCATATAGCATCTGCCACAGAGAAAGCAGGAAAAGATTGATTTTTTGCAAAACCATGTTCCCACGAGCAAGCCTTGTGCACACAACCAGTTCCCAGTGGCTCCAGTTGCAGAGCTGGGACAGGGCTTCATGCAATCTGCCCAGGCAGGACAGCAACCGACACCCCTTAAAAAGCAGTCAGGCTCCCAAACCAAGCCCTGATTTGAAATAAGAACAAATAAGAGAAGTGGGTCCCGTGGATCAGTAGTGCCACATGGCATTGGGTGTGTGCCAAGCAGTCGGCATTTTGTGTCCCCATCTTTCCACGTCCTGGTGGTTTCTGGCAGCCCTCCCCCTGGCATGCGTGGCTCTCTCATGGTCAGTCATATTTAACTCTCAGGAGGACAGTGCAACGGTATCCTGACAACCGGTTGGTACATTTATTTACTTTTATTATCTTTTCATTATTTTATTGTCTGGTTATGAATCTCTTCTACTGTTTGCAGCTTGCACCACAACCTGTTTCATGGTGCCTTGAAGAACACTCCGCTGTGTGCGTGCCTTTAGTTTTCTCCTGGTTGTTTCTAAAGACACCCACTGCCCGTAGGGGACAGTGACGAACAGCAGCTCTGGTGGCTTGACCATGGCTGGAGATGCCACCTCAAGTACCGTCAGTTTATACGTACAAACTCATTGCCCTGCTGCACGTTCGCTTCCTTGGTGGGGTGCAAAAGTCCCAGAAATTCCTGAATCTCCCAGGTGCTGGGATTGGGTTTCCATAAACTGGGTTTTACAGAAGATCTATTTCTAGACACCGTTCTCCTGCAAGGGCGAAAAGGAGCCTGATGTGCAGGATGGATCAGATCCCTGTGCCAGGGCACTTCTGTGTTCCCCTAAGGGCAGCAAATGCATTTTCCCTTCAGCTGAGCGTAGCCTCAGGACCAGGACAGCACCCAATCCCTATTAGCAGGAGCAGGATTGTTGCAGATTAAGTGCAAAGATTCCTGAAAAGCTAGGATGGTGGTGCCCAGGAAAAATGATTGGGAAATACTCTGGTGTATGCAGAAAAAAATACCCACAGCGGTCAAAAAAATCCCACTTTGGAACAGAGCAGAAAAATAAAACCCCGAACCCTTACAGAAGTCTGCTTCCTCTCTTCAAAAGCTGGAAAAGTATGCTCAGTATTGCCTTAAACCCAAGACATATATTCCCAAATTTGCACCCTTTTGCAACCAGGGCTGAAATCCCCCTTCCTTTCTCCTCCTGCCCTGCATTAGCCTTATTTTTGCAGCTCACAACCAGCAAGAGAAATAACCTGCCCTGGGCAGCCGTGCCCTGGCAGCAGGAGGAGCAGCCCTGCTGGGGTGCTGAGACCGAGCCCCGTGTGCAGGGCAATAAGGATGGGTGAGACCGATGGTCCTCGGAGCCCCCCAGACGTGTTGCATTGCCCCTCACTGCCCAGTGTTTCCCCCTTCTCCCCTTCTCATAGCTCTCCTATGTGGATTCGGATGGGAACCCCATCGGAGTGGTGCAGATGACTTTCCTCCGGCTCCTGAGCGCTTCAGCCCATCAGAACATCACTTACAACTGCTACCAGTCCGTCGCCTGGCACGACGCCACCACCGACAGCTATGACAAAGCCATCCGCTTCCTGGGCTCCAACGACGAGGAGATGTCCTACGACAACAACCCCTACATCCGAGCCACCCTCGACGGCTGCGCGGTACGTGGGCAGAGCTGGTCTCAGCCGGTCCCTGCAGGAGGGGTCGGTGCTGGGGGTGTCACAGAGTCACAGAACGGTTTGGGTTGGAAGGGACATTAAAGCCCATCCAGTGCCACCCCCTGCCATGGGCAGGGACACCTCCCACCAGCCCAGGTTGCCCAAAGCCTCATCCAGCCTGGCCTTGAACCCCTCCAGGGATGGGGCATCCACAGCTCCTCTGGGCAAATTCAGTGTCTGTCCCCCTCCCCAGGGCACCGTCTGCCTCTGGGCAAATCACCTCCAGATCTCCTGTGCCCAGTGATGGAGCTGCCTTGAGGATTGTCCCCAACATGGGAGGCGTTGAGCTTGCTCCTCCCTGTGCTGGGAATACAGGTTTCCACTCACAGTCAGGGGAAGCCGCAGCACCTCTGAAAACCAGATTAATTTGCTTTTTTGCTGGCTGTGCGTAAAGGAAGGGACCTGACTAAAACCACTGGTTGCTTTTAGATGTCCTTTGCTCTTACTCTGTTTGCTCCCACGGGACGAGGCAGGTGATGAGCCCCAGTCACGTATGAGTTTACAAGGCTTTGACAATAATTTTTTTAAAGCACTTTCAGGAAATCTTGGAAGCAAAGCACTAAGGGTTTGGCACTGGGTTGGTTGGGTTTTTTTTCTGTGGCCCAAAGGAGGGCTCTGGGCTGTGCTGGGCACAGGGGTGTCCCCAGCATCCTCCCTTTGCTTCTGCCTCTGTCTGTTGGGTGCCTGATTCAGGATTGAGCTCTGAAGCATCTGCCCTCAGGAGCTGAAAAACTGGCAATGCAGGTGCTGCTTGCATTTATTTTAAGCCCCAGCTTGCTGGTGCCCAAGTGTGCATAATTCTCACCCTCTGCAACTGCAGCGCTTGAAGCCCACGGGACAGGAAGATTGAGATGTTTGACAGAAGCAGCCCTCCGCATAATCTGAGACGAGAGTGCTTCTGTTCTGGCACACGCACGTTTCTGCTGCAGGAGCAGTGAGGAAAATCACATTAGAATCCCTTCTTTTAACACTCGCAGGGAGGGAAAGGGCATCCATCCCGCTTCTGGAAACACTCAGAAGCCACGTGGGGAAGTTTATCCTCAAGTTCTTCCTATCTCCTGCTGGTGCATTGTGTCCTTGGTGAAAAGTGCCATCTCCTCCCCTTCCCTTCTCAAGCCTCAGGGATGCTGCAAGATCACAGGCTGCACATTTTAAGGCAGATGTCCCTGCTGCAAACCCTTCTGGTTCAGGTGATGTGGCTCAGATGCTCTGCCTTCCTCTCAACTAATGAGGGATATTTGCATGGAGAAAGGACTGTACCTGCCTTGAGTTTATTTGCTTGGTTGCTTCTCACAGGCCAGCTCAGTGTTGCAAATAAACGATTGTGGCAAGAACTAAGCAGTGGGAGCACTGGGACAGTCTGGTCGAGCCCCAGTGCAATGGTGGGGCACAGAGCGATCATCTCCTTGCTCAGCTTTGGGCATCACTTCAAGACCGGTGTGCCCTGGTCCTTCCTCTCTGCTGCTCTTGCAGGCTATAAAAAGGAGGTAAAATATGCCAAGGGGGTAATTACAGCCTTGTAGGAAGAGCCTCTGCATCTCCGGTATTCCTGTGCCACCTCCGGCACCCTGGTAGGTCATCCTCCCTGAACCACAGGCGGGATATTTAAGATTGAGCCCTACCATGTGAAAAATGAAGTCAGGCTGCCCACTGTTGTGCAGGGGTCCTGGTGGGACCCACGCTCCAGCCGTGGTGGAGGCTGCTGCAGCCGGCGCCGGCAGATCGCCTGATGTTCGGGCCGTTATTTGGATGCGTTTCTCCTGATCGTACAGCCCTTTCTCCGTAGCTGTGATACAGCCTGTTCTTCTGAGACACACAAATCAGGGGGTAAGAGCCAAAAGCTGCTCCATAAATCCACTTGTTTGTGCAGCTCTGTATGCCCTCGGGTGCACTTCTGCTCCTCTAATAATTATTTATATTTCAGAAATAAATGTATGGCCACCAGGCACAATAAAATGACAACAATCACCTTGTGAATTCCATCAAACTTTAAATGTGATCTTCTCGGTAGCGCTCGGATAATAGTCAAACTAATATATTCAAATTAAATCGCTCATATTTGCTCAACAACCCATGCGTGTCCTCGGGGAGGCAAAACAACTATACCAACAGCCACAACAGTTTTACCAGGCTGCTGTTCCAGCTCTGAGATGTGCTGACAGCAGAGTTTAGTGTCTTCTGGTCTGCACAGCAGCAGCTCCAAAGTCTGGGCTCAGGACAGTCATCTCCCCCAGGGTTTGCTCAGGGGTCACCATCCCACTCGAGAGCACGTCTGCTGTATCTGCAGGGTAAATGTGGGGTGTTTGGGTGCTAGGTGCCTCTAACTTAGCTCAGAAAATGCCTGGGAAGATCATCACCGTATTGCTAGCTGACCAGTGGATGCTCGTTCATGATAACTTGCTGTTGTTGGGTTGGAGGCATCATCAGGGCTCCTCTTTGTTGTGTTGGAGGCATCACCAGAGCTCCTCTCTCTCCCTCTTCTCCCCCCAGGCGAGGAAGGGCTATCAGAAGACTATCCTGGAAATCAACACGCCCAAAGTAGAGCAAGTACCTATAGTCGACATCATGTTCAATGACTTTGGAGAAGCATCACAGAAATTTGGATTCGAGGTGGGACCAGCTTGCTTCATGGGCTAAGAGCCACCTGAAAACTAGTCTCCAAATGAGCAACCTCGTAACCTCATTGCGCCATTTAATTAATTAAAAAGAAAAAAAAAAAAAAGAAAGAAAAAAAGAATTCTTTGTCACATGCACGTTCTGAAACTGGACAGCGATGGGTTATTTTTTTCCGTTTTGTTTTGTTCCTCATTTTGCCCGAGTTCCTCTGCGCCACCCAACCGTCGACCGCGAGGACCATTCCCACGACAGCCGCAGAATCGCATGACCGACCGCCGCACGCGTGGCCTGGAGACCTGTCCCCGTGCCACCGCCGCTCCCACCGCTGCTGCTCCACGGCCACCCAGCAGACCCCACCACCATCAAAGACTTCTTCTTCTTCTTGCCATGAAGAGATACCAAGCACTTGTCTACAGATTATTGTTTCTTCGTCTGTTTCTGAGGAAAAATGGAAAAAACTTGAAACTCCTGTGTTCAGCTTGACGTTGAATTCCCGGCAGTCCTGGCTCCGATCCAGACCCTGCCGAAGCTCATCGGAGGCATTTCGTTGGCTTCCACCAGATTTGGATCAGCTCTAGCAAGCAACCATCATGGCCATTTCCAGAATTTTTACTCTCTCCATTGAATCGTGTAATTCAACATTTTACAAAATTTAACCCCATTAATTTGACAGCTGAAAGTCCTACTGGGCGTCTCCTTCCCATGTATTAAAGGTGCTTATATTTTTGTATGTTTGTAAGTAAATATTTGTATTGTATATTATTTTAAATGTTTAAATGTTTCTGGCTTCAAAACATGCATGTGACCCTGTCTGTATTAAAACCACCCCCCTTCCCACCACCACCCCAGCCAAGCATCCACCTGGATCTGGAGGGGCTTGGGGTGATGCCCAGGCACGAGTCTCCGCTGTTTTTTTTTCCATGCTCCTCCCAAGCCACAGATGCCTTTTGGAATGATTTACTTCAAAATAAGGAAATTAAAGCCACTTTTTTAACAAGATTTCTCCAAAACCCTGATCTAAAAGCAGGATCTGCTTTGAGTCTCTGCATTTTAATACACTTGCTTGCCTTAACATATGTGTTTTAAATTAATTCTTTTTTTTCCTTCAGCATTCTTTTAAAATAATAATAATAATAAAAAAAATCCATTCCCAGCGGCAGATTGCAGTGGCAGGGGAAATCCATTTGTCCTCTTTGAATATAAAGTGTAAAAAAATGAGAAAAAAAAAAAAGGTGCTTTTTATTTTTACAAGTCTCTGTGGTGCTATCTGTTTGAATAACTTTAATACAACACTGGTGATACCCTGCCACTGGCCAGTCTCCCACCAGCCTTTGCTTTTTTAGCCACTTTCAACACAGACTGCAGGCTTTTGCTCCAGTCTTTGATTATAAATGCATGCCACCTTCATGTTATATAGAAGATCGGCTCCTTTCCTTCATTGTATTGCTGTAGCTTATACAGCCCGTGTAGAAAAAGTATTAAACGTGCTTACATCTTTTTTCTTTTTTTTTCCTTTTCTTTTTTTTTTTCCCCCCAAGAATATTCATGCATTTTATATGGCGGTAACCATACCAGATTGTACTCAGTCGCTGAATGTTTGTGGTGCTAATTTATGTATTTGTTGGATGTCCTGACGCGATGCTGATGCCGTGTGGGTGCCCGCCCAGCGCTCCCGGGACTCTGCAATTTTCCTGGTCTTCCCACGGTGGCTCTGCCAGGATGGCTTTTTTTTTTTTTTTTTCCTTCCATGCAGCATTTTCAGCTAGCAACTCGCTGACACCATCTTCGTTTTTTCTGTTTGTTTGTTTTCTCCCTGGCCGTTTTCCTTGTTTAAATCTCTCGGCTGGAAAACTAGATGTTGCAGGGTTGGGTTTTTTTAACGATTATTTGGCCTGGAGTATTACAGCAACGCTTGAGCCAAGGGGGGTCTTTCACCATAAAGGAAAAGACATCACATTTACTGTGAAGAAAAACCTACGTATGATGTCTTTTCCCCCCTCCTTCCCAAGCGGAGAGCAGCAGCATCCGAGGAAGGGAGGCGAAGCCGTGCTGGAGGGAGCGGCGATGCCGCGCGGTGCTTTTCGGTCTGGGAGAGTCGTGTCCATCCGTCTCCCTTCTGTTGTGTTCTTTCGTATTTTTTTTTTCTCCGTTTTTTGGGAAAAAAAAAAAATAAAAAAAAAAGGTGCTAACCTAAAAACTGCAGACTCCGGCAGCAAAGCAGTGAAAAGGAGTATATAATAATATATAGGGGAATTCAGCTTCTCAGTCACCTCGGCACGAGCCTTAGGAGCAGTGGGAAGGTCAGAAAAGGTTGCACGTTCCTCTCTGCAGCAGATAAGCCATATATTGATGTATGTACACCCGTGTGCGTCTGTCTAGGTCATGTGATTCTGTTATAAATTTTCATCAAGGGAGCTTTTTTTCTCTTATTTTTCCTTTTATTTCTTTGCTTTAAGAAAAAAAAAAAAAAATTTCCTCTGTTGAATTCCACAGTGTTGTAATTGTACTGAGCTCCAAACTGTTCCGATTTCCCCAGACCACTTAGCTACGGTATATTGCAATAAAATTACTACTTGTATTTGCAGACATTCTTTTTGTGTAATTTTATTTCCCTCCTCCCTTAATATATATGACTTGAACAAATGTTGATAAGAAAAATAAAACCTATGGAAAAAAATTTTAGTACATAAGGCCCTTTTTAAAATATAGTGTCAAATGACATATTGTACATTTCTTCAAAGTCCAATAAACATGTCATAAAATTTAAGTGTAATGCCCATAAGAGCTATTTTTAAATATTTTAAACCTGTGTAATAAAGGAATAAATGTAATAGATTTTTTTTCAATAAATCAAGTTTACTGTTTCCACCTAAACCACCGTGATGTGAATGTCTTCTTGAAGTTGATTGCAGCGTGATTTCCCCGCGACCCCTCTGCCCAGTGGAGCCCGAAGAGTTCATCAGTGGAGCGGTGAAAGTGCCCAAAGGTAATATATACCCTAAAAAAAAAAAAAGCCAAACCAAACCCATCACACAGAGAACTTCCAGGCCTGGAATCTTCTTTTTTTTTTTTTTTTTTCTTAGTGAGAAAGTCCAATTGACCCGACAGTGCAAAAATCCAACCGGGGGAATTCAGCGGCTGGGCTCTGGATGAGATGACCAGGTGGCCACCAGCTCTTCACCTTCTCCATCCCAGCAGCACCTGAGGAGTCCTTACGTGGCACTGCAGCCTTTGCTCGAGCTGATCATCTCACCTTGAGATGAATTTGGAAAACAAACCATTTCTCCAGCTTCTTGGTGAGCTCCTCATCCCCCAAGCTCATGTCTCGGCCCCAGGGTGCTGCTGCACGGATGTGCTGGGAGAAGCACCACGGGGGACACTGTGCTCATCCTCTCCTCCTTACCCTCTGTGGATTTCACTCCAGGGATGTGCAAGAAGACGATGGCTCCTGGAAACCGCCTGCATCTGCCTGCCGACACCAGCTGCTGGATTCGCATCGCTCTGGTTCTCAAGGGCTTCCTGCAAAGAACAGTTGGTCGGTGCTCCTGGTTTGCAGGCTCAAGAAGAAGTTTCCACGTTAGAGACATGTCCCTATTTGCAACGCTGCAGGTAGGTACAGCACAACACACACACACGTGCACAAACCCACCTCTGTGCACAAAGCTTTGCAATGACCGAGCCAAGTTGTGTGTCCCACCAGCCTCTCCCCTTCTTCCTTTGGCTGCAGTTAGCGGTAGGTCTCAGATTAAGAGAGACGTTCAGGTAAGGAGCCCAATAGGATAAGTATATAATTAGCTTGTAGGAGTAGTTTTGGGAAATCTTGGGGTATTGTGGCCAAATCTTCATCTAAATGGATACAAGCAATGCAGAGGTACCGCAGAGGTGGGAAAAAAAAATAGCTTTAATGACTTAGACCTGGCTAGAAAGATTTAACGTAGATCCTGATGATGCTTCAAGGTGACACTAACCTTTCCTGTGCTGCCTTGCCAGTTGTGATTTGCACTGGATCACTGCAGCAAACACTTCTAGCAAATGCCTCAGAGTCTCACGGCTGAGAGGAGCTTTGATCTGCCATTAGAAAAAAGCAGAGATCTGAGAAAGGATTTGACTGTTTCTGGCATGGCCAGACACACAAGCCATGGCATTATTTTTTTTCCACCTCTTTTCATATAACAGAAAGTCCACAATTTGGTGCTGGAACCACGATGCGATAACTCCACCCGGTGAAATACGGAGGGTGATTTTGGGAAGATCCACAACAGAAAACAGCAGATCATTGAAAGAAGACTGTGAGCACCCAAAACAGCTCAGTTTTGCCCTGAGGATGGGTGCTGAACCCAAACCCCTGCACACCCCAGGGGCTTTGCCCAGGCACGGCCCCAGCGCAGCAGCTGCCTGTCCCCATCAGCAGCTCAGACCTCAGGACACAGCAAAAAAGGGGGCAGGAGGACGGAGCTCAGCACCCACACCAGGGGGGTGCTCAGCAGCACCCACCCCCGGTACAACTCTGGGATTGAGAGCTAACCAGGTGCAGCTGAGCCCCGTTGGGTTTCCAGCAGCCTTGAAAAGCAGCTGAGCCAGCCAGGGCAGGTGTAGGGCTGCTGATGTCTGCTTTGCTCTGCTGGGGAACTTTTCAACTAGGCTGGGATTTACACACTTCTGTGTAATCAGAAAGGAGGCGAAGCCTGGAGAGTTTTTCTCAGGCAGTCACCTGAGCTGACCCAGACACGAGGACATGTGTGTGCATTTGCTTCCTGGCTGTTCTAAGGTAAAACGTGAATTGCTGTGTGACCTGCTTTTCTGCCTGTAAAATGGGAACTATTTTTTTAGTTTAATTTTTAGCCCTGTTCTGGAGGAAAGGGCCCAGGTCACTATGCTACCTGTGTGTCTGTTGGCTCCCCATCTTGTTTCTCTTGGCTTGCTTCAGCTGCTGGAGCAGTGACTGTCCCTAAACCAGCACATCCCTACCTGGTTTGTAAGAGTAGGCAGTGGGGCAGAGAAAAGAGCCTTTAGCATGAGCTCAGCCGTGTATTAGCCACCTGAGAATCCCCCGAGAGGTTACCAGGGGGACAGGTGGCCCTGGGACTGCATGTTCCTGCATCTGCTATGGATGGCTCCCA